TATAATTTGTTATATATAAAAAAAGAGACTATTTTGGTAGCTTTTCTCGATTCAACAAAAGTCTAACCCTTTTATAGACAATCTGGACACCTTTTGGATAACGTGAGTCCTGAAACATGCACACTCACTCACTCACTCACTCACATTAAAAAAAGGCAGCGTTCCTTATAACCAGTCTTCAATGGACATCATAAAAATCCCTTTTGCCAAGATCTGAAGTAAATACAACACAAAAAAGGTACAAAAGACAGCTTGGCTATTTTAAAATTCGTGTATGAGGTAACATTGAACAGGAAAATAAATCGAGATCACCTGAATATTAGCCACTCCAGTTTATTTCACCTGATAATTCAACACCTTAACGTCACCAGGAAGGAATTAGGTTAAGTTAGGTTTGGTTAGCATTAAATTTGATTAGATTAGGATAGGTTAGGTTAGCTCTAGGGTGTTTAATCATCAGTGTGAAAATAAGCTGTGATACCTAATCTTCATGTGAGCTTTAAACTGTTACCAGCGTTTTACAGCAAGCGTTATCAAGTAAGCTGGTGACTAATACATCCAATGGTCTACTGTATGGCATCATTCATAATAATACAATAAAAGATCTATTGTATATCTGCTATAATACAATATAGATGAGATAGAAGCATCATGAAGTGTAAGCGTATATAATGCAACAGTGGTAATGATAATGCAACAGAGAGAGAGAGAGAGAGAGAAGTTATGATGAAAATATAATGAACTAATACAATAATAACAGAAAAATAAGATAAACGCGGTAATAATAGTGTTAAGGTGATAATACAAATAATAACAATGATAATGCAGTAAATATCGATTGTAAATAAAACATATGATAGTTAACATAATAATGAAATAATACTTAATAATTAATACAATGGAAGATAAGAAAGTGATGGTGAGAATAACACGATACAAAAAAAAATAACTAAAGAAATAGAATAATGAAAAAAAATTACTGAAGAGAGAAACAAGAGAAATGAGATAAAATATAAAAATAAAAACAAAATCATTGAAGAAATATAATAATGAAAAAATTAATAAAATTTTTAAAGGTGGTTAAAAGATATGTGGTAAATGTTAACTTAATACAGTTATTTGTTAATGAAGAACAGAATATACAAGGTTTAATACAGAGTTACTTGTTAATGAAGAACACAAGACTTAATTACTACACAGTTATTTGTTAATGAAGAACAGAATACAAGACTAAATACAATTACTAGTTAATGGAGAACACAATACTTAATTAATACACAGTTACTAGTTAATAAAGAACACAAGACTTAATTAATACACAGTTACTAGTTAATAAAGAACACAAGACTTAATTAATACACAGTTACTAGTTAATGGAGACAGAATAGCTATCTCTTGGGTCATGATCAGTGAGATGATGAAATGTTACACAGTGAGAGATTCTAAAAGTCTCTCAGTTAATAATTGTTCTCAATGTCAAGTACAATACCTTAGGTAGAAAATACTCCATAGCACAATGTTATAATATATATATGTATATATTTATCTTGTTTCCAGTTTCAGACAGTCGAAAATGTTCATCCACACTTCAATAATTACCAATGGAGAACTTAATTGCACATGTTGACACCGTATTTGTAAATGCCACATCATTTTTTTTTTTCACATTTCACAACAAATCTGACAAATATATTGTTTTGTTTTTTTACACTTTACCAAAATTTTTAAACAGATTCAAATATATTTTACTCTCAAATAGTTGATTTTTCACAACTAATAATTTTTTTTTGTGACTCATTTTTTTTTACCAAACTCAATAATTTTCATACAGCTGGATTTTATTGAATTTTTAAACGAAGAAAAATTATTGTTGTGGCGTTATGTTGAATACCGTAACTTGAGGTTCAGTTGAGATAATAAAAGTACTACAGATAATTCCCGTTACTGTACTTGAAGGATTATTTAGGATTACAGAACTGGACGATACTGTATTGTGGATTCAGTATGTAAACATTAGACGTCAATATTATTGTTCATCAGACCTTAATACACCATTATTAGGTTAAGTGTGATTTTTTTTAAGGTGACCTAGGTGACCTGATACATAAATTCACCTGACTGGGGAAATACACCTGTAACCCATCCTAACCTAGTAATCTAACCTAGGTGAATAATTAGGGTCACCTTAAACATTCACAGGTAACATGTTGCTATGGTGATTTTTGGTTCCATAAACACATTATTAACATCTCCATACACACAAACATCTCCACACAAATGATGTTTTATATTAGTTTCGAGCCAATGGTCGTAACACTTAGCGGTCCAATGATATAAAAAAAATATGAAAAAAATCTCCATATGGTTGCAGCAATGAACAATGACCTTGGACACACACACACACACACACACACACACATACATCAACAATCCCAAACATAGACACAGACACCCACACATATACAATGTATATATGTATATGCATATATATATATATAAATACACACATCCATACCAAGTAATAAACACACAGAAACGAAGTGATATAATGTTACCACACAAACTGGTTTTATTTCACAATGAAGGTCCCTGTGTGTTAGAAGCTCAGAGAGAAAAATTGTGTTTTTGTGTACGCATCTCAAACACACACACATACACACACGTATGCACACACACCTCCGGAATGTACACCAGCAGTTATAGGGGCACCTGTCAGAATGCACCAAGACACAGATGCTTCCCTATAATCGTGTCCTTGAGTGGAAAGTCAGAATGAAAACACTAAAAAACAAATGACTCACGACTACGTCCACACTCTTGCCACCCTCAACACTCACTGCCGAATGGACTTGAGCACCACCAATATAATTAAGCTATTTCTAATGGCTCCTTACACCACCACATTAATAAATTACAATATTATAATGGCTCCTTATACCATTAAGTATTAATATTCTTAATGGCGCTTTACTTAACACACTCAAAAGCCATTATGACAAACTTAATTTTGTCTTCAAGATGATCATAAAAAGTTTCCTGGGCTTAAGAAGTTATTAAGTGTCTCAGCAGACTGTCTTAAGAGTTCTGTAAGCAAGAAGCTATTTAAACAAGAGGACTTTACAATGTATATCTCATTATACCATTATATAGTATCTTCGTCCTCCTTAATTATAAAAGTTTTAATTTTTCAATAAACATATAAATACTTTCATGAAGTATATCTTACCATATACTTCACAATATTCCTTTTTTAATATAATGATACCTGTACTTTGTTTCATTCAAGTTACAAATAATATCCATAAGTACATCTCAAAATTTTCAAATATAATTACTGCACATACACTATTCATTCAACCTAATTACCAAACGTAATTACTGTACTCGTTACACCTTTATAATTACACAATGTATGTATCCAACACAAAGTTTTCCAAAGTTTTTTCACATCTCAAATCTTGAACACACAACACTCTCACGTTGCAATACTCCATACTAAATATTTTAATACACAACTGAGAGATGGTATACCACTTTGTATGTATATTTTTCAAGAGCAGTTTAATACACAGAGTGAGTATAGACACACATATCCACAAATGAATACATCAAAACAGCTATAATTCTCATCTCATCTCAATCATCTCCACTACAAGTTTCTGTACCACTGAAGAAGTAATTGATGTTTACTTTAGGTTATGGTGTATGTGTAAGGTATGGTGAAGGTGTGTAAAGTATGGTGCAGGTCTGTACAGTATAACGCAGGTCTGTACAGTATGGCGCAGGTCTGTACAGTATGGTGGAGGTATGTACAGTATGGTGCATGTCTGTACAGTATGGTGTAGGTATAATGCATGTCTCCCTCTATCAGAATCAAAACAAGAACAAACCACATTACATCCTGCCTCGTATGATTAAAGAAAATGGGGTCTTGGCTCTCACCATAGTTTACACATAAGGAAAATGAGAAATAGCCCCCCACCCTCCCCCCCATATTAAAAAACAAAAATAATGTGGCCATGAATGATAACTTTAGTCCATTTGGTCTTTAAAATATTCCTAATTTAATGTTGAAATATTGAAGCTTACTGAACAACTTCAGACTTATATAAATAGGTGTTAAAATCTGTTACCTATAGGTTGTGTTTACATAGTGTAAGGTTGTGTTTACATAGTGTAAGGTTGTTTATATAGTGTAAGGTTGTTTATATAGTGTACAGTTGTGTTTATATAGTGTAAGGATGTTTATATAGTGTAAAGTTGTTTACATAGTGTAAGGATGTTTATATAGTGTAAAGTTGTGTTATATAGTGTAAGGATGTTTATATAGTGTAAAGTTGTGTTTATATAGTGTAAGGTTGTTTATATAGTGTAAGGATGTTTATATAGTGTAAAGTTGTGTTATATAGTGTAAGGATGTTTATATAGTGTAAAGTTGTGTTTATATAGTGTAAGGTTGTTTATATAGTGTAAGGATGTTTATATAGTGTAAGGATGTTTAAAGATACACTTATATATATAGTGTTTATAGTGAAGTTATGCCAATGTTTATATTTTCATTCTGAGAGTTTGTTGTTTATCGCCACAGTAGATTCTGGTAGGGATTTTTTATTAGTTTTATAATGAGCAATGAAAGGATACCACTACCCACACTACCAGTACCTCCACACGATTATCCACACTACCAGTACCTCCATACACCACTACCTACACTACCACTACCTCCACACCACACTACTACCAACACTACCAGTATCTCCACACCCACCACTACCAACGCTACCAGTACCTCCACACCACACTACTACCAACACTACCAGTACCTCCACACCCACCACTACCAACGCTACCAGTATCTCCACACCCAGTATACCTCCACACCACACTACTACCAACACTACCAGTACCTCCACACCCACCACTACCAACGCTACCAGTATCTCCACACCCACCACTACCAATGCTACCACTACCTCCACACCACACTACTACCAACACTACCAGTACCTCCACACCCACCATTACCAACGCTACCAGTACCTCCACACCACACTACCAGTACCTCCACACCCACCACTACCAACACTACACCAGCCTTAAGTAAACCTTTTGATTCACTGCGGGGAGAATTTCGTTCATCTTTCATCATCTTTAAATCCTCTTACATCATTGTTTTGGTTTTCACAGAGAATTTCTTCACCACCTTGGAAACAAAAATATACCTGTTAAGAGACTCACCTTAACACCTTAACACTAAATGAAGAGTTCACTACATCTCTCCTTGTCTTTATTGAACATTTAAAAGCTAGTTTGAGTTCACCTATACGGTTTGGGTATTGCGGATGAGCGTTTCACAGGCTGGCTTCCCCTTACAACCAGAAGCTGCACTTTACCCCTCTTACAAGGCAGCAACCCACGTCTTGAGGACAATAGACACCCCACCCCTTTCTCTCAGAGCTGGAGAGGACATTCGCATCCTCCTTAAACTAATGTCTAGGGTGGGTGTGTCCGTGACCGTGTTCGTGTCCGCTTGCATGCCCGAGGGAGTGCTGGCTTCCGTCTCTTCCTCTCGTCTTAAGGATGTGGTGGGGCCTCCTCCTCCTCCCGGAAGAGGTAGGTACTCCAGTAGACCACGTTGAAAAGTGCGAAGACGAGCGGGAAGGTGATCCTCGAGATGACGTCGATCCTTTTGCTCCTGCTGGGGAACTTGGAGAGCCAGGAGCCACAGCAGCGTCGCGGCGGCTGAGGATGCATGTGGATCTCACACTGCCGCGCCTTGTCCAGGGAGAGACCGTCCCCGTGGGCTCTCATCAGTGGCTTCTGTTAACACCAGCAGCAGTACTCACTAAGCTAACACATTCAAGGCAATAGAGACCAGCTAGGCTATTAGGGGGGGGACACTAGGCTACAGTTACCGAAGCTTAAGGACTACCAGGCTACAGGAACCCCGTCTTACAGTCTACAGGGAACACTATTCTACAGTCGACGTGGCTACTTGCAACACTAATCTACAGTCTACATAGCTGCACTAATCCACAGTCTACAGGGAACATTGATCTACAATCTACAGTGATCACTAACCTACAGTCTACAGAGAACACTAATCTACAGTCTACTCTACTACAGGCTACAGTAGACAGTCTACAAAAGTAAGCAACACTTAAATACAGTAATTAACTTATCTCGCATTATTGCCAAAACAAAATACTTTATTGCAAGTTAGGTTAGATTAAGTCAGGTCAGGTCAAGTCAGGTTAGGTTAGGTTAGGTTAGGTTAGGAGCCTCTTGTTATGTTGCAGTTTATGAGGGACTTCTGTATATAGACAATTGACTAAGACACTATACGTTATAACGAAGTGTCTTTACAGTGAAACCTCCCTATAACGGAATTTCTCTCTCCATATAATCCGTTAGATGGGGTGTTCACATCTAACGGATCCTCGATATAACGGACTTTCCTCTCTGTATAAATCGTTAAATAAAGGTTTCATTGTAGGTGATAATCCATATTTGATAATTTTGAATAAGTAAGAATATATATTGGGCATTGTTCTTGATAATTCTGAACAAAGGAATAAATATAATGAGATAATTCTTGATAATTCTGAACAACTGAAGACATATTGGCGATAATTCTTGCTAATTCTGAACAACAAATTAAGAGTGTTAGTGGTTGATAATTCTGAACAAGAAAGTATTAAATATGATGATTAATTGTGAATTCCCTCATAAAGAGTTAAACCAAAAGGTCAGTTATCCTATAGGCACTGTGGGGGGAAGCAAGGGTACAGGGGAGAGAGGCACTGAACCTGACAAGGGAGACAAAGTTGGCACCATTCTAAGGAGTCGTATCAGGGGTCAAAGTTGGCACCATTCTAAGGAGTCGTATCAGGGGTCAAAGTTGGCACCATTCTAAGGAGTCATATCAGGGGACAAAGTTGGCACCATTCTAAGGAGTCGTATCAGGGGTCAAAGTTGGCACCATTCTAAGGAGTCATATCAGGGGACAAAGTTGGCACCATTCTAAGGAGTCATATCAGGGGACAAAGTTGACACCATTCTAAGGAGTCGTATCAGGGGTCAAGGTTGGCACTATTTCAAGGGGTCATATCAGGGGTTCATATGCAGGCACCATTCCGTTTAAACTGAATAGTGCCAACATTTGAACCACCAATTCTCCATTCCAGGTTGCGCGCGCACTTTGAATAACAGAGCCACCTATCTCAAACCAATGAAGTTACTGCAGCGAAAACAAACTGCTGTCATGAACTTGTAACTGAAAGGACTGTCGACGTTTTCCTTCTTTTGAGTCAGAGATGCCAAATAGCTGCGCTGCATATGGCTGTACAACCCACAACACGATGCTAGAAAAGCCAAGATTGCTCAGATTTCCAAACAAACGGGGATCCTGATCATCGATGTAAATGGATAGCAGCCTGCAAATGACTGAACAGAGATGGTACTCCATGGTTCCCGACATCCAGAAACATGTAGTACCTATACATAAACGCCTTATAGCTGGTATGTTATTTAATTGATAACTACTTGGTAAAATCGTCGACATACTAAGCCAATCCTGAGTGCAATATTTAAACCACTGACAAGACTCCCCTTAAACACAACACAAAGAAAACGGGCCATAAGAACACTACAGAAAATGGGAAACAGCGTAAATGAATATAAACAATAAAAACACTGATTCCTAAAGGCGGCGGCACACTGGGCACTTTTTTCCCAACCAGGCTGAGCCAACATGGTCCGGCCAGCACAACAAAGAGACGTTTTCGTCACACTGGGATGTTTTGTTGGCGCGTCTGGGGAAGCCGTCGTGAAGTTTGTTTACAAGTGGCGGCGGCTGGGTTTATGTTTTATATTTTAAATTATCATTGTTTCATGATTTAAATTTTTACTTAAATATTCAACACTTAAATGAAGCTCATTTGAACACTTATCCAGCCAGCAAAGTTCGCCGCCAAACCGTTGTCCATTTCTCGCAACAGGCGAAATCCTGCTGCTTGCTGGGCCGTCAGACCAGTGGCCAGACAAACGGCCAACATATTGGGAGGAAAGAGCCCAGTGTGCCGCCGCCATAACTCTACAGACACCAAACATCATAAAAACTACTTGAATTGGAACTGATGGAGGGGGAGGGGGAGGGGGGGGGTGTCAAAACACGAGTCATAAAATGAAATTGTTGACTCAAGCAGAAACACGAGAGCTTTAAAAAATAAACACAGCTCTAAACAATAACAAAGGCAGCTTAACAGAACTCCACACAACATCCAGAGAAATTTATCAAACATATTTTACGATAATTTACTAATGTTTAAAAATATTTTCCTCTTCCACATGACCCTATCTATCTATCTATCTATCTATCTATTTTGAAACCAGAGCAGACTAGCCTAACCTAACTTGACCTGACCTGACCTAAGCCTAACTTGACCTGACCTGACCTAACACAATTAATTTACATAAGGTTCTGCACACCTCACCTACCCACCACATTCTACTCCACAAACTATCCTACTATCCTTCTCGTCCCTTTACAACCTCAGAGTCCACACGTTCTAGCTAACTATCCTCTGAGGTCACCGGGAAGTAGTCTACTATCCTCTTACCCAACCCCACTATAGTAAGACCTGTATTTAACGGACAATATATGAGAGTATTGTCCGTTATATCGAGGTCTGTTAGATATAAAACCTCTAAATAGCTGAATAACATCATACGTGTCCGTTAAATGGAGGTATTTTTTTTACTATATCTCCTACGATTCTAACTACCTAGGAAACACAAGCTCACCATAGCGAAGGTCGTGGGTCCATCTGCATCCATATGTTCCGCTTCGAGGGCAGCTTGATGCTCTAACTCCCACTGCCGCCTCTGCTTCTTCATCTGTTCCCTGTGTATGTCTGATCTGGAGGCATAGTTGACGAGGGCGAATTCCAGTAGCGCCCCGAATACGAAGGTCAAGCATACCCCTGTCCACACGTCGATGGCCTGCAATGGTAGGGTGATAGTGAGAGAGAGAGAGAGAGAGAGAAACTGAAAAAAAAACCCTGAAATGAAACAATAAGGACAAGAGAATCAAAACAAACAATAAGAACGACCGAGAAACACAGAAAGGAGGAGAGTGATAAAAGAGAGAGTTAAGGTAAGGGAGGAGGGAGAATAATATGAACTGGTGTACTGTACTGGGTGACGTTACCACAGTTTAGGTATAACACAGCCAGGCCGACAAGACATTAATCAGGTGAGAAGTGGCGAGGAGGAGAGGATGAATGGAAGAAAGAAGAGGGATGATAGGAGGAAGAAAAGACATCGAATAGAAGAAAGAGGAGACGAAAGAGAAGAAGGAGGAAGTGGGAGATGTAAGAGGGGGAGAAGAGGAAGATTAAGAGAAAGAGGAGGAGAGGGAGGAGAAGACGATTAGGAGGGAGAAGAAGAGGAGAAGGAGAGTAAGGAGGAGTACCTTGGTGTAAGAGACAGGAGGGAGGGACTGGTTGATCCCCGAGGTCTGAGTGGCCATGGTGAGCAGTGTGGTGACTCCCAGTGAGACTCTGGCGGGCACAGCGTTCTGATCCAGCCAGAAGGAGACCCAGGAGACGATGACCAGCATGCAGCAGGGGATGTAGATGGTGAGTAGGTAGTAGGAGAACTCTCGCTTGAATAGGAGGTCCACCTTCAGACACGAGTAGGCACCTGTCAAGTCACACTCCAAGTTAATACCAAGTGCAACATTATACTTACAGGGTACAGCATCGTATAGTACAGATGGTTAACAAGATACAAAATAATTATCAAAACAAAGGAATTAGAACAATATTATGTAGTATTAAAAGTTATATACATTGTTGTCGTTTTTTAAATTAATAATAGCAGTATTTTGTTGTATTTTTCTAACACTGGTTAACAGTTACTAATACTATACATAAGGTAAATTCCTGAGATAAAAAAATACGAATAAAAATACCTCACAGTGGCCTTAAAATTCTGATACAAAACCATATTTAAAAACCATCATGTACAATAATAAAATACAGTAGCCACAATGTACTCTTATCTATACAGGTCGTACTCAATGAGGAACTCTGAGGGACACACACACACGATGTACTCTAACCTGTGTTGGTCTTGCTGTTACAGTACTCGGTGAGGAACTTCTCTAGGGTGAAGCGAGGCAGGTGGAGGTTCTGGGTGATCTGGACGGGGTCACCCTCACGCCAGAGAAACACCAAGTCCTCTGTCGTCCAGCCATCTGTTGGAGGGGGGGGGGGCGGATGGTTAATACCAGGTGGTGGTGGTGGTAGTTATAGTTGTACTTACAGCAGTAGTACTTGTAGTAATAGAAGTAGTAGTTGTAGTAGTTTAAAAAAAGTAGTAGTAGTATAACGAGCTTCAAGGCCCTAGACAGAGATACTGCCATACAGTCAACCGAGTGAAGGACTCAGGGAGACCCGTGCTACAACACTGATTAAAGTATGAGACAGCCGAGGTCAAACAAGTAGCACATGCTGATGACCTCACAGGACCAGGATACTTAAACAAGTGGTGGGACCTAAATCATCACATGGTCCACTAACAGGGTCCACCTAAATGGCAGCAAATCGTTCCTCATTTGAAGCCAGAATACTACGACCGGACTATAGAGGTCTTCAACAGAAGTGAGGTCAAAATAGCAAAGGACGGCCAAAAACATCTAGGCGCAGTAATCGGCACGAAGGATTTCACGACCGAATACGTAAATGGAAAGGTAAACGAGTGGGTAAAGGGAACCCAAGATCTGTCGGAAATTGCTAAGACTGAGCCACATGTGGCGTTTGCGGCATTCGCCCACGGAGTCAAACATCGCTGGAATTACCAGATGCGCACTATCCCTAACATCGGACCTGTCATACGTCCCTTAGAAGAAGCCACCAGGAACGAATTTATTCCAACACTACCACCTTACCCCAGCAGAAGGGTCACTCCTTCCTGCCATGGAACATCAGAACTGTCAAGCTTACAGCAGCCCTCACTGAGCACATAGTAGCGCAAAATGCCGCGAGTGATGTAGACTCCAACGAACTACAAAAAATTCGACGTTCCATTACGACAGAACGGCAACACACCCACAGTAAAAAAACTTCAACTATTGATGCAACAACTATCAGCCTCAAACTGGCTAACAACTTTACCAATAACAGCAAAAGAGTTTCAGCCTTAATAAACAAGAATTCACAAACATCATTGCTCTAAGGTATGGTTGGCCAGTGGAAGGCATTCCTGCCCAATGTGTGTAGAGCAGCCTATAAGATCAACCATGCCACGGTGTGCAAGAAGGGAGGTTTCGTTTGCATGAGGCACGATGAAGTAAGGGACCTCAAGTAAGCTGACCCTCCTCCCACTGGATGGAGAGCGTTTCCTTCAGTGTACTGCTCGTGTGGAAGTCAGCACGTAAGGATTCTGAATGAGGGGACAACGTGGATCAAAGTAGCTTCACTCCACTGGTGTTCACAACATCGGGTGGGATGGGACACAGTGCAAAGTGCTTCCAGGACAGATTGGCTGAGGTGTTATCAGAAAAGAAGCAACACTACCCAAAAGTTACGTCATGTCCTGGTTAAGGTGTAGCCTCTTTGCTCAGGTCTGCTCTGTTGTGTCTCAGGGGGACAAGATCACCGGCCACTAAACCAACACCAGTTGAAGACATTAACTTTGAGGCAACACTAACTGAATCCCGTATAGATCTACAGCTTAAACAAACTCAGCTAGGGTAGTTACTTTTGTATTAGGATAATACTATTAATAGTAGATAGTAATGTCAGTGAATGACTTGATGAAGGTAGTAGAGGTCATTGTACACAAATGACCTACATATAGACAGACAGACAGACACTAGACAGCTCATGAAAAAGGTTGTTATACAAAGAAAGAGAGACAGATCAAAATACCATACAACAATTAACCAGAAAGATAAACGAAAAATAAACAATCAAATAATACAATAAATCTCTAAAAAAAAAAAAAAACTACAAAATATAGAAAAAACAGACATAACATTCTCAGATATACATAATATAACCTTAACTACATAATATAATATGTCCTTAATATAACAATAAGAGGCATATTAAGTGTTATTCACGTTACCTGTGCCTGTATTTTGGGTACAGGTGCGTGACACTCATAAGACCAATTGTATGATACTGTAACTGATGAGAAATTACTGTACCTGTTATGTTATGTTACAGGTGAGAATATAACCTGTATCTGAATTTTGTATTTAAACCTGTAATAATAATGGTGGTGGTGGTGTATGGTGGTGGTGGTGGTGTATGGTGGTGGTGGTATATGGTGGTGGTGATGTACAGTGGTGAAAATAGTGTATAGTGAAAGTGAAAATAGTGAAGTGGACGTGTGTGTGTGTGTGTGTGTGTGTGTGTGTGTGTGTGTGTGTGTGTGTCGTAATAAGAAGATATATGACACTCGGGTAACAAGTGTCATATGACAAAGCCCAAGTACTGAATGACACCGGTGATGACAACAGTATACCTGACCTATAATAATAATAATAATAATAATAATAATAATAATAATAATAATAATAATAATAATAATAATAATAATTGGTTCTACTACTGTAACTGATGCTGTTATTGCTAGTTACTTCTACTGTTACAATTATTGTTATTATTACTGTTATTGATACTGTTACTGCTACTGTTACTACTAGTGTTACAGCTTCTACAACTGTTGCTGTTACTGTTAATACTACTTTTGCGACTATTGTTACTGCTACTACTTATGTTACTATTATTGCTACCATTACTACGTGTTACTATTATTGCTACTGTTACTACTATTGCTACTTCCCCTGCTACGTATTTAAAGTAAGGGTGACCATACGTGAATTTTTGTAGTGTCCAGAATGAGTGACAAACACGGTCACGTTACAGCCATTTGGACGATGGATTAATGAACGTAGTGTTAAATAATACGAGGATACTGTACTATTTATCTATAGACAGGCGCACACATAGACGGATGTGACGTCAGGGGCTATACCTTTGATCCGGGCTGTAAATAGTAAAATATCATTAATATGTCTAAACTGTAAAGTATTTTGAAACTACCAAACGACCGGGTAGGTTGTCATTCTTGTTGACTGTTTGTTGGACCTTGTCTCAACACAGCTGCTATGGGGTGTTGGTGGTACAGTGCCTCTCATCATTACGGCCTGGGTTTAATTCCTGTCCCGGGTCTGGTGTGAGAAGGTGTTATCCATCCAGTGTGATCTTACCAAACATGGCTCGAACGGTTAGTAAGCTGGTAAGTGATGAGCTGATTAATTATTAAATTATATATATCCATTACCCAATCTAATTAATCTTCTATGGTCTATACTGAATTATATTACAACCTGTTATAAATGATGTGCAAAAAAGGTTGTATTTATGAATATTGGTTCATATAGTTAGTATATTTCATGAAAAGTGTGAATGACCAGCAGTCCATCTCGTCCAGTGCAAATAACACACGTGACGTCACAGCAAACCCCTCTATACCCCTCCAGCACAAACCGTTTACCTCGAGGGAAATAAAACTCCAATTACTGAACAACCACAACCAGGCGGACACAGGGCAGTTTATTAACACCAATACTTAGTTTCGTAGGGATAAAAAGAACAAATTATTAAGTCACTGTTGTTCTTTGGTTAATATAAAATGAGGCTAAGAATTTATATCTGGTAAATACTTGAAATTTATACAATCCTCTCAATAATATTCCTCTGTAACACAATTAAGTAAGTCGGAAACGATTTACTTATATATATTCTTTTACGATTACAAAGACACCCTCTGCATTTAAAACACAAAACACTACCCATTTATTACTTATAGGTATCTGTCAGAGCTAAGTATCGCTATGTATAAAATTATTATTTTTTTTCATTATCAATATATTAGTTAGGCAAAGGCTTCACCACTGTACAAAGGCTGGCATATTTACAAGAGTTGATGCTAAAAAAAGAAAGAAAACGTGTGTATTTGGGGCAACACTTTAGAGAGAACGGATCATAAATAACGGGAAACTTCACTCTATTGCGAAGCTGCTGCGTTAGTGGCAATTCTTCTCAGTCTCTTACCAATCTTGGCGCCGTTAAGGACGAAAAATACCTCCGATTACTCTTAACTATGACCCTAAAATGACGTAATGGAACACATTCTGGGGGGGGGGGAGACTCAACTATCTGAGAGTATTTTCAATGGGAGGGAAGGAAGGAAAACATCTTTAGGAGTCATAGTTTTCACGTTTTTAGCAACAGGATATTCTACCGATGTATTTTTATGTTCTTATATACTTGATATTGATCGAATTAATTAATGGTAGTCTGATTCCACTGAAGAAATACAATTTTCTTAAACATTTCTAAAAACCCAGCTAGACATTTCACGTTTCATACACCCACTTAATCGAAGGTACAGTAATATACACTAGAATATATATATGTATTATTTTATGGTAATATTATTCGTAAAATATATATCACCACTTTTAGTTTGACGAAGAAAATGTGGTGAAAGGCAGTAGGTGGTGTTATGATGGTGGTGTTGTTGCTTGGGGGACGGTGGAAGTGGTGATGGTGGAAGTAGTGATAGTGATGGTGGTAGCGGTGGTAATGGCAGTGATAGTGGTGGTCATAGCGGTGATGGTGTTGGTGGTAGTAACAGTGGTGGTAGTGATGATAGTGGTGGTGGTGGTAGTTGCGGTTACGGGCTATAAGACGCACCATGACAGCTACCTTAGGTCATCATCGTCTTACTGGTTATCGTTACCTGTATACTTGTATTAAATGTATTTTCTGTATATCACCACCGTCTATGTATATTGTTTTTATACATACACCTTCTATGTCCTGTACATCATTTGTATACTACCACTTTATATTCAGCAAAATCTTCACACTAGTTTACAGTGGTTCAGGATGTATATAGATGTTCAGGTATATAAATAATGTACATAGAGAGAGCAGGGACAAGTACAGTGTCTGCCAGCTGTGACGTAGTGTAAGGAGCCCTAAGTCTTATACAATGATTAACGGTATGTTAATATAATGAAGGATAACTCAATAAAGCTATTAAAGTCTTCACTAAGGTCATATTATTGATTTTTCGAAAACAAATTATTTGTGATTAATGTTCAGGATCATCTGTACCAACCGATACGCTAACCGGCCACAGCGATCGGTCTGGGCGGCGGCCAACTCCTAATGAAAACATTGATTGTGGTATCAATGGTAAAGCGTTTTGTAGCCGCTGGGGCGATTATGGGAGATGAATGGCAGCAAGTCAGGTGTTTGACAGAGATACAGCGACTGTAACTGATGGATTACAGTAAGCGGGGTGTCACAGGCAGGGTGGTGGGCCGAGCGTGTTGCCATGGCGATGGCCCTCTACCCTGTTGCCATATTATGGGCGATAATAAAAACATACATCACATTACGTAACTTTTCCATTAATTTCTCTTCATACTTACATTAAGACACCGCTAGTGAGAAAAGTCTAGATGTATTTTTTATTCACATGTAAATTAAGGAAAAATATATTATACTGTCATCATTATGTAAGGCTGATTTACATTACATATATCCCACTTAATTGTGTAACCCGTATTTTACAAGGTGGTGTAATGCGTCTAGTGTGGCAAGCACTGCTTGCTTCCTCTCGCTTTCAGCTACCGCCGCTGGCTAGCCCTCGTGGCGAACAAGGAAGCAGCCTTGCCTTAGTCTTCCCCTGCCAGTACACAGCCTCTTCACCATTAAGACTCCTGCTGTGCCTCCTCGTGGCAACACACGGTAACTGGGTGCCTCGCAGCCACAGGCTAGACCAGCAGGGGATCTCGGAGTAGCAGTGGGCCCCAGAGGTACGGTGCATTGGCCGACTGGCATGTGGACACACCCTAGTGCCTACCAACCACTGCCACGCTGCCTTGTGGCTTAACCGTGGTAGGTATAAGGCTACTGGAGTAAACCCCGAACGAAAAATCTGTGGTGGAGCCCCGCATCAGGCAGACATGCTTACAGAGCTTCTGTAAGACCCCAACGGCGGTATAGGCAGAAGAGGTGACCACCATGGGAACTCAACAACTACACCGGCTGACGAAGGCAATGCAAGATGGACAGGCTACTAAGGCGACACCCAACAAACTGGGCTACCGGCAGTCCATTGCAACTCTCCCTCTCCCCAGTCATTGCAACACTTGCACCACTGGATCAGGAAAAGGAAAAGCCAAGATGTGTGGTTGCAGCCTGCTCTCCTGCCTCACCACATAAATCAAATCACGTACAGCCATCATCCAGCTCATCCTATATTTCATCATCATCAGAACCTCTATATACCCCAATAATCCTATGGTGACAAATGAGTGGCGACGGGGACAGGCAGAGATGACTGCCGGGAGTCTATAGTCACAACTCTGCACACTGGAGGTGTAGATAACATGGCCGTTCATGCACTGGAATCTAGACAGCAGTGAAATCCGGTCCTGTCTGTGCGACTGAGCAGGCCTTTCGAGGAGCCACTCTGCTCACCCCACATAAGGGGGGGGCTAGAAAAGGTGCCCTAAACATAGCCTGCCTAAAAAAAACAATCTGACTGGGCAACCGCACCCAGTAAGGTCATCCTTCTGGATACTGGCAAAAATGAGCATCCTGAAAGAAGAACCTCCCCTGTGGCAAAAGAACTGGCCAGGTATAACATTGACAAAGCAGCCATTAGTAAGTTCCGGCCCCCAGACGAGGGTCGACTCACAGAACGGGGGTCTGGCTACACCTTCTTCTGGAAGGGTATGCCTGCAGCGGGGAGAAACGGCATTTATGGAGTTGGCTTTGCCATCCGCCAATTCATCTGAAATGCTGCTTGGGATCAATGAGCGCCTCATGACGCTCTGAATCCCACTGAATCACTCACGTCATGCCTTCTTCATCAGTGCATATGCCCCAAAACATACTAAAACAAAAAAAAAAACCAAACAATAATAAAAAATCAAACAAAAACAATAACAAAAACACAAGAAAAACAACATATACGACCATAGTACAGTAAGTCTCCCTCATTCTCTGGGCCACATAACTTGGCCAAGTGTAAACAACAGATAAGTTAAACAACGTTTACGGCGGCTTGTCAACACACCTGTACACCAACATGTAAACAAACCTCTACCTTTGTGGCCAGGTGAGGGTGGTGGTAGTGGTAGTGGGGATGGTAGTAGTAGCGGCATGGTGGTAGTGACAGTAGTAGTAGTAGTAGTAGTGAAAGTAGTAGTAGTGAAAGTAGAAACAGTAGTAGTAGTAGTAGTGGTAGTAGTAGTGATAGCAGTTGTAGTTGTAATAGTTGTTGTATTAGTAGTAATAGTGGCATGGTAGTGGTGGTGGTTGTAGTAGTAGCAAGGGGGTGGCGCCCCTCGTGAAGGGAAGTGGGGAGTTCCCGGCCCCTTAGTATACATCTTACTCTGCTAATCTACTAGGGGCTGGGGGAGGGTTAAAAGGAAAGGGGGTGGTGGAGGAAAGGAGGGGGTGGAGGGGAAAAGGGGGAAGGAGAGGGAAACAGGAAAGGGGGAAAGGAATGGAAAGGGGGCGAAGACGAGGGAAGTGGGCAGAAATTTTGTCCAAAAGTCGAAAAGGGGGGTGAGGTTTTAAGAGGGATATTAGGGGTTTTGAGAGAGAGAGAGAGAGAGAGAGAGAGAGAGAGAGAGAGAGAGAGAGAGAGAGAGAGAGAGAGAGAGAGAGAGAGAGAGAGAGAGAGAGAGAGAAAGGAAGATGGAGAGGGAAGAAAGGATGGGAAGGAAGAGGGAGAAGAAAGTAAGGATGGAAGGAGGTTAGAGAAAAAATATGGCGAAGCAGAGGAGGATGAGAGAGAGCGATAGAGAGCGAGATAGACCACGAAAGACTTTTAACCAAAGTTTTCCTACACCAACGAAAGTATAAAAGACACCAAGATATGTTAGCATGAAAAGTATGTACTGTACACTCCAAAGTATATAAGACGAAAGTATATCAACCTGAAAACTGATTTACACGAAACTATACAAAAAACAAAAGTATATTAATATCAAAATATATAAACACAAAAAGTATACTGCCGCGAAAGTATACATAGACGATATACAATAAAAACGAAAGTATATCAACATATGTAAATAATATTTTTTTGTGATTAATTTTTTCTTCATATATTATGCTATACCAGAACAAAGTATACACCAGGTTATACCACATACATCAGCATACACCTGTTGTTGTTTTTGTTGTATAAGTCAGGATGATTAACTGTTCCCCTTCCCTTGTGAGTTGTATTGAGGGATTACTTTACAGATTATTGATAAACACGAGAAGAAATTTATTACTTGTATTGTTAATGTGAAAATGTTAATAGTTTTTTGTGCATAAAAGTAATATTTTTAAGCTGTTAAATAGTAACTGGCTTTCAAACGATTATTAGATTGTTATATAATTTCAATCATAGTTATAATTTACATAATTTTAACTCGGTAATTCAGTAATCTTTTGGAATTTAATATAATCGATATGGGAGGAATATGTTAATTATATTTTAACAAACAAAAGTGTATTTTATGGGGATTTTTTTAAGTTAAATTTTGACACAAGTCTTTCGTGGGCGCCTCGCTATGCTGGTGTGAGAGTGTGTGAGCTGTGAGGGCGGTCCAACATTGTACGTGAGCTGTGAGGGCGGCCCAACATTGTACGTGAGCTGTGAGGGCGGCCCAACATTGTACGTGAGCTGTGAGGGCGGCCCAACATTGTACGTGAGCTGTGAGGGCGGCCCAACATTGCACAAAACTCGACATATTTTTAAACAACAAACATTTTCACGTGGCACTTAACAGACTCTCAGAGCCCACACACTTCCTGAAGCCGGAGTCCTGAACCCTTTAGCATGATGGCCAGCTGAGGGGGGGGGGGTATGTCCTGGCTCTGGCCCCCTTAATTATGGCCAATGGGGGAGGAGGGGGGGGGGGTCCTGGCCTACATGAAGCACTGGCTGTAGGCACCTGTATCATGGCCAATGTGGGGCCCTCCCTTGCCACCATCACTCGTCGAGATGGTGACAGTGGTGGTGAATGAGTGGCAATGGTGCAAGAGAAGGGTGGTACTGGTGATAATAGTGACCAAAGCCCATATTCTTAAAAAAAATTCCTACGTTACTTTTCTCAATAACTGGTAAAGGTAGTAATATAACTAACAGACTGATTAAGATAAAGAATATGATACACCTTCATAAATGACATCAATATTATAATACTCAATATTGTAACTATAAATGACTGTCACTCTCAGTTATAAGGGAGGAAAATAATGTAGGAATAGTTGTTTATGTGGAGCCAGAGCAGGGGTGCCAACATTGATGTAGCGGGTGAGAGGAGCAGCATCAGCCTGGCTCAGGGCACGCCACAGTTGGTAATCATTGTTCCTCCGATACTTACAACTTGCCAAAAGAAGCTCACATGTTTGAGTGTCTAGAGGATAGAGTTGTAGGTTCATTGGACATGAGAGCGTTAATGAAATTCTGGAAAAGAAGATGTTTTACTATTAATACTCTACAGACAAAGACAAAACAAGTAACGCCAACTATCATGAGCTTTGGTGAATGTGCGAAGTTGTGTTTACATGTCTGACGCCTTCACCCCATCCACAACACACCACAAAGTATTAGTGACACAACCAACACAAACTTGACCTCTGCCACAACGCACTTCGCACCTTCACGAGACAAAGACTCAATTATTCTACATCTAAGTGCATAAAAGATCTATTTTCTTGGTTTACATGAGAGAGCCAAGAAGGTAGATCCCCCAGCACCATGTTGTGTGTTATCCTGTAATACTTACAGCTAGCTAAAAGTAGTTCGCATGTTTGTCGATCCAAGGGGTAAAGTTGGAGGTTCATTGGACAGGAAAGGGTCAAAGAAATTCTGCAAGGCAAAGTTGAAAGCATATGAAGACCAAGGTTAAGATGGGGGACTGGGAGCTGTGGGCTGTGGGGGGTCACCCAAAAAAAAATGGGAATAGCAAATTAACATAGAGAGAAAACCCAAAATATTTAACATAATATATCTCAGCTGTAGAAAATATTGCTGTAGTAAAATCTTAACATGTTAAATAGTCATGCTATGAATGGCTTAAGATCTTGTATTGATAACTAATTGGCTATATTTTTAGTCATATAAATATCCTGTATGATTATAGCAGTAAATCATAGATATAAATACATAACTATACATACAAGTTACAAAAATAGATATAACATTACATAATGGCTATAGGTAAATATAATATAACCTCCCCTATACACTGTAAACTATATAATATGTATTCTCTACTGACCCATGTATACAAATATAAATAATGTATATGTATTTATATATAAGTATACTGTATCAAGGAGGAAATTATTAAAACAGGCCTATAGACCTGACACAAAAAAGAAGACAAAATTGTGCTAAAGTGTATGATGCCCCACTAAGTATGCCCATGGACAGTTTATGCCCCAACAAGTCAAAGTCGCGGTTTTTACAAGGTCTTTAGATCAAGTAAACCTTCACCCCTGACACAGAGGCCGCCGCTATAACACAAGTAACAGGTTAGGTTAGGTTAGGTTAGGTTAGGTTATCATTAACTCTGGTCCATCACAATTCAGTGTGGGAGTCATGATGTAAGTTAGTGATCCTTAACTTCTGCCTCGCAAAAACACGCCTTTTGTATGACTCTGGATAGTATATGCCCCATGAAGGTAAGTATGCCCATGGATAGTGTATGCCATATGAAGGTAAGTATGCCCATGGATAATGTATGCCATATGAAGGTAAGTATGCCCATGGATAATGTATGCCTATGGATGTGGTGTATACTTCATGCAGGTAAGTATGCCTATGGATAATGTCTACCCCATGAAGATAACTATGCCTATGGACAGTATGCCCCAAGACAGTGCATGCCCAATGATAGGAAGTATGCCTCTGGACATTGTATACCCCATGAAAGCAAACATACCCCTATAGTGTATGCCCCATCAATAATGTCCCTCAAGATTACTATGCCCCTATATATATGCCCCCAACAAGTTCAAGATTCCCCTAATGTGTATACTATATGCCCAAGCCCCCTACCCACAGTATGCTCCCCCCACAAAATGCTACTATGCCCCGTCTCACCTGATGCTGTAGAGAACGCCTCCATTAGGGAAAATCCTCAGGTAAACATTGGGAAGAATTATGTCATGAAAGTGACCTAATTTCTCGTTTTTGAAGAAGAGGTCAGGCATCCAGACCTTGTTCGTCTCCGTCAAGGTCAGGTACTTTATCCGACCTGTCAATAAAAGGTCAAAGGTCAATAAATGGAGGGGGTTTGGGTGAGGTCAGGTCAATCTTTTATATCACTTGAGGATGAGTTTTGAGTTCATATATAGAGACAATTTTCAAAGGCTGGTGGTGATGATGATGATGGTGGTGATGATAGTGAGGGTGGTGGTGATGGTGATGATGGTGAGGGTGGTGGTGATGGTGATGATGGTGATGATAGTGAGGTGGGTGGTGATGAGTGGTGATGATGGTGAGGGTGGTGATGGTGATGATGATGGTGATGATAGTGAGTGGTGATGATGGTGATGATAGGTGATGAGGGTGGTGATGATGGTGATGATAGTGAGTGGTGATGATGTGTGGTGATGATAGTGAGGGTGGTGAGGGTGGTGATGATGGTGATGATAGTGAGGGTGGTGATGATGATAGTGTTGTTAGTGGTGATGATGGTGATAGTGATAGTGATAGTGAGGATGTTGACCTACCACCAAGGTCATCAAACACTAAGCGCTCGTCCACCCACTCCTCCCGGAAGGTCAACTGCACACTGTACTCCTGTAAGGTCAGGTCAAAGGTTAATCCCGGGTCACATACTGGATATTTCTGGGTTATATTGGCTACATCAGGGTCCTATTGGATATCTCAGGTCATATTGGCTACATCAAGGTAATATTGGCTATCTCAGGGTAATATTGGCTATCTCAGGGTCATATTGGCTACATCAAGGTAATATTGGCTATCTTAGGATTATACTGGTTATCTCAGGGTCATATTGGCTCTCTCAGAGTCATATACTGGCTATCTTAGGGTCATATTGGCTATCTCAGGGTTATACTGGCTATCTCAGGGTCATACTGGCTATCTTTCACTGTTATTGACTGATTCAGAAAAAAAAATGTATTTGCTTGACTGAAAATTAAATACAGTATATCAAATAGCCTGACAAAGATATATTTATTTATTTATTAATTAATAAAAAACAATAACAAAATAAAGACAAAAACAAAAGTAAACAAACAAAATTAAATAAGAAAAAAATACGAGAGAGAGAGAGAGAGAGAGAGAGAGAGAGAGAGAGAGAGAGAGAGAGAGAGAGAGAGAGAGAGAGAGAGAGACACACATAGAGAGACAGACAGACAGAGAGAGTAGTTAGCTCGTTAGTGTAGGCCAGAACAAGTTGTCTGCTAATTGGCCACATTAAGGGAGGTGTCACGGGGTCGTCACGCAGCCAGGCCCTAATTTGGGTAATTAGTGGATAATAACATTGGGGTAGACTGGTAGACTGGTAGATGAGGTGGAGTAGACTGGTTGATCGTCATGGTAATAGACAGATAGATAGATACAGTAGATAGATAGATACAGTAGATAGATAGATACAGTAGATAGATAGATGCAGTAGATAAATAGATACAGTAGATAGATAGATACAGTAGATAGATAGATACAGTAGATAGATAGATTGAGTCTTTATTACAAACAATAAAAAAATAAATCAGAATAAATTAATAAATCTGTCAATAATTTCCTAATAATTTCTGTATATAAAAATAGTCAGTCAAGCAACAATTATTATACACAATTATAGTATGTAATAATTATACCATGAAGAGTGATTATAACTTAGACTTGTGGTAATGGATATAATTTTGACATGAAGATTAGCCACCCGAGCTTAGGTTAGGTTAGGTTAGGTTAGGTTAGGTTAGGTTAGCTTAGGTTAGGTTAGGTTAAGTTGAGGATAAGATTAGGTTAATTTAGGTTAGGTTAGGTTAGGTTAAGTTGAGGATAAGATTAGGTTAATTTAGGTTAGCTTGGTGTGGTTGATAAAAATTATTCATAGTTATATAATTATTCTATTTACACACATACAAACGTACAGACATTTATATATATGTAACATTCACCTGTAATACGTCACATAACTAATTACTACTTAATGCACTAAACTAACACCGACAGAAAAAGTGCAGGTAATTAGACAGGTAAACACGCATCAAGTCGTGCTGATTGGCTAGCAAAGGTAAAATGGGCGGAGCTCCATGACGGTGTATGCTTGACGTCATAGAAACTCCCTCCCCCTTTTTCGTTCGTTTTACCTTAGTCTACAACGTGCAATCATGCAACTGATCTACTTAAGAGAAGTGAAATATCAGATACAGACAAACAATTATACATAGTTAACATCCAAAATAGACGAAAATGAGAAGAAATAAAAATCCGTAGTACCAAAGAGAATCAATATACAGGAAGAAGTAAAGCCATCTCATAGGGAAACGGACGCGTGCCACTGTTGTTGAGTTGCCGGATCAAAACATTCACACTTTATGCTTCTGTTACCAATATTTCACAATCAACACAGTCATAAAAAACACCACGAGCTTTAATTTCACAAGAACACTGAATAATCAACACCTTTCTCGTACAACAACACCGTAATAAACTTATTAACATACCAGGTAACGACGCGGCAATATATTATATAACAGAGAAATTAAATGGGGGGAAAAATAAGTTGATAGGAAATGTGTTCAATTAGGACGAGATGTGTGTGTGTGTGTGTGTGTGTGTGTGTGTGTGTGTGTGTGTGTGTGTGTGTGTGTGTGTGAGAGAGAGAGAGAGAGAGAGAGAGTGTGTGTGTGTGTGTGTGTGAGAGAGAGAGAGTGTGTGTGTGTGTGTGTGTGTGTGTGTGTGTGTGTGTGTGTGTGTGTGTGTGTGAGAGAGAGAGAGTGTGTGTGTGTGTGTGTGTGTGTGAGAGAGAGTGTGTGTGTGTGTGTGTGTGTGTGTGAGAGAGAGAGAGAGAGAGTATTAGTAATATTAACTAAATTGTTAATCAGTAATTTTTTTCATCAGTCATATTAACTGATTCAGTATGCCAAGTTAAGTGAGTCAGTATGCCAGGTTAAATGAGTCAGTATGCCAGGTTAAGTGAGTCAGTATGCCAGCAAGTGAGCCATACCCCCACAACTCCTCCCCCCCCCTTTATCATTACTGACCCACCATTAACCCCGAGTGAACAGTGTCTTACAATCTATTTTTTTCCTCCCAGTACGACCAGCGCCCAAGACCATCACCGCCTTCCACTGACTGACTGACTGACAGAGAAAAATTACCTCCCAAGCCTCCTATGCCTACGTCACATGGTCCAGGGTCAAGTACTAATGCAGCTGGTGATGGTTTTTTGTTTTTCTTTGGTTAAATATTTTTTCCCAGTATTAACAAAGGCGAGGAACAGGAGGAAGTGTGTGTGTGTGTGTGTGTGTGTGTGTGTGTGTGTGTGTGTGTGTGTGTGATGTGTTATTCTATTTATTCAGACAAACAAACATGAATTCTGATTTTTTTTACAAACGTTGAAAATGATGTCAATTTTACTATTATTTACAAGTACTTATTTACTGTATATTGTGCCTATATAAAAACATCAATTACGTATTATTATTATTATTATTATTATTATTATTATTATCATTATTCGGTGGTTTTCAGAAGTATATATCGGTATAGAAGAAACAGACGAGAGGTTCCAACACTTTAAATAAACGTAGTGAGGTGTGATGCATTGTTATTCATGTATTCATAAGGGTGGCAGCGAGGGTGAGAGAGGGGGAGGGGGGAGAGGGGGGAGAGGATGGTAGCCAGGGAGGATGGAAGTGAGACAAAGATTGCCAGGGAGAAGCATCTGGTAAATCTAGGAGGGAGGGAGGGAGGGAGGGTACATCATATTCAAGGGGTTAAACCATCGTCCTCGAAGGGTTAAGCCGTCGACCTTAAAGGGTTATATCACAGTATTCAAACAAACTAATAATGGATAAACCACCACTATCGTCAATAACTTTAAATTATGAATGAGCGACACTGTTACATCATCCAGTTCATTACAAGCACTGCTACTACAGACACTACTTTGCTTTTACTCAGAATCGTGTATGACGATCATCCAGCTATGATACAATAATACGAGTTATTAAGGATTTCACCTTCATTGGTGAGCTCTGGGGCGACTCGAGAGGCCGGTACGAAACCGGCAAGGTCGTTCACAGATGTTGCACATGTGGAGGGCTGCATCTAGTGCGGGAGGGGCGGCGATAGCGTCTTTCCGACGCTGGCGCTTGTCTGCGTCGGTATGCGGTCAGGCTAACTCGAATATATTGACACCTTCTCGTGTGGTGCTCCTCCAAGCGTTACGGTGTGGAGTAATCGTCTCCCAGGTGAGGGGGTCGATTTGGCACTTTTTCAGGTTTGTCTTAAGACTATCCTTATACCTTTTCCGTTTTCCGACAGCGTTATGTTTACCATTCGTTGGGGACCTGTAAAGTAGCTGCTTTGGCAGTTTACTGTTGTCCCTGCGGGTAACATGGCCAGTCCAGCATAGTTTTTCATGGATAAAGGTAGCCTCGATGCCTCCTACAGTTGGTATTTGGCATTTGTTCTCTTGTCTTCCCAGCGAACTCGGAGGATGGAACGTAGACTTCGTTGGTGAAAGTTTTCAAGTGCCGTGAGGGCCTCCTGTATGTGACCCCATATCTCGCTGCCATACAGTAGGGTGTGGAGGACCACTGCTCGATACAGATGCAACTTTATATATAATTTCAGCTCCCAACAGTTGAAGACACGGTTACAGAGTCTGCCAAAGGCTCGAGATGCACATCTAATCCGATACTGTATCTCTTCATCGATGTCGGCGGTGGTGGAGAGGTGGGAGCCGAAATATTGAAAGTGGGTAACCGTTAAGCTGGATGGATGGTGGAGGTGTGGTTGAGCCAGGGGCAGGCTGGAAGAAAATCCGAGTCTTACGTACATTCACCTCAAGGCCAAAGTGTGCATACCCATCTGTGTAGGTGTTCAGGATCTGTAGGTCACGTTCAGTGTGAGCGACGAGGGTGAGGTAGTCTGTATACTGAAGTTCAGTGATGGAAACTGATGACACCTTTGTTCCTGCCCGGATTCATGTTATGTTGAAAAGTCCCTTCATCTGGTACTGGATGTCCACCCTGCCGGCTAAATTGGCACTGGCAAGAGTAAGGAAGGCAGCCAAGAAAATGAAAAAAAAAATTAATGCCAGTAGACATCCTTGTTTTATCCCGTTTGGATGGGGAAGAACTCAGACTGGGTGTCATTGTGCAGGACACTGCCGTTCATGCCATCGTGCAGTTGCTTCACAATGGCAATGAATTCTTGTGGGCTTTCCTGTTGACCGAGTCAAAGGCCTTGGTGAGGTCGATGAAGGCCAAGTACAGGTTATGACGCCATTCTCTGCACTTTTCCTGTGTCTGGCGGGCAGCAAAGATCATGTCAGTGGTTAGAAGTCTGTTTAGGAGGACTCGGGCGATAATCTTGCCAGCTATGGACAGCAGCGAGATCCTGTGGTAGTTACCACAAAATGAATGGTCTCCCTCGTTCTTATTAATATTGACGATGGAGGCGTCTTTAAGAGCTTAGGGGGATTTCCTCCCTTTCCCGTATGTTTTCCCGGAGAGGGTGAAGACGGCTGGTAAGCAGAGGTCCTCCTGCTTTATACACCTCGGCTGGGATTCCATCAGGCCCTGAGGCTTTGTTAT